ATGGAGGCTCCCTTGAGACAGGAATGTCTATAGCAAGGCTTAGGGCAAGGTGATTACAATCAAGAAAAGCAAATGTGGTTCTTCCGTTGAAGGCTGGTGGATATGGGTTATAAAAGGAGAGAATATCTCATATTGGGGTAGGAGTCCTTAGCTGGACTGGAATAAGCAACCATAAGTATATTACGAAATGAAGTGTGACCAGTAGCAGAAGGAAGTAAAAGACAACAGGAAGGAAGGTTAACACTTCCATTTTTACTCTAAAGTAGATACTGGTGGAGTAGGTAGAGGGTTTCCAGCCCAGATGTTAAAAGCCATCCTATCCCCTTCACTAGAGTCCCAACCCAAATTAGTGGCCTTGCACCTATAGCAAAGAATGAATAATATATAACTTGCAGACAGAGTTCTGAAGTAATTTTGAACACTTCAAATAATGTCCTTGCAATATTTCATGAGGAAACTTTGCCCTCTCTATAGAAGGCAGCAGTGATGCTCCTGGCCGAAATACCCTCTGCCCCAGCAACACTTCTGGATGCTGCCCACCCCCCAGCACTCCATCTCTTTCTTTTTGTTCTTTGTCCTCCCCCCACCCTTGATTTTTCTTTCTCAAACTCCACTGGGTTACTAGGCAGACACACATTTTCCTTCTTGTTATGTTAACTTTTAGAAGAGTTTGGGTGTGTTGCAGTGCGAACCTGCACTTGTGTCCTGCTCTCTTGATTTCCCCAGAGAGCCTTTTCACCCACAGGGCCATGCCTAAAACCTTTTCAGAGAAATGGCAATGCCAGATGCAACAGCCACTTTTGTGGCAGTGCACCTTGTATCTTCTAAAACTTAAAAGGAAGAGAGAAAGGAAAGGAAAGGAAGGTTGCTGGGGGCAGGGGGAGAGGAAACACACATATTGGCTGGGAATGATAGCATTCATTAAAGTTTCTTTTTAAAAATCACATACAGTATGTTGCAGGCTCTAGTGGCACCCATGGCTGTACAGATAGGCCTGGAAAAGAGGTATGAGAAAGGTTGTCCTTAGGGGTTGCAGGCCCCTAAATTGTTGATTTAGATAGTGGTGTGAAGAAAGGCTAAATGTGGTATCGTGACAAATAAATTTAAGAACTATTTTACACAAAGGAAAGAAACAGGCCTTTGTAGGAGTGAGATGTTTTCCATCCAAGAAAACAAAATGAGGCAGAACCTGTTCAGAGTTTTGTTGCTGATTTTCAAAGCCTGAGCCAGACACAGTGGGACACATGATTGCAAAATGAGAAATAAATTGCTAGAAATTAAAGACTTGACATTGGCAAAGGCTAGTGTGACTAGCTGCAAACAAAATAAGGTAGATTTATATATTAAATTTATATTCTGCCCTTTCTCCTTTCAAGGAACTCAAGGCAACTTACATTTCCACCCCCCCCCACCCCAATTCTTATCCTCACAACAACAGCACTCTGAGGTAGGTTGGGCTGAGAGTCTATGACTGGCCCAAAGTCACCCAGTTAGCCCCATGGCTGAATGGGGACTAGAACCCAGGGCTCTTGGATCCCAATCCCCTTAAGTACTATACCATACTGGCTTTCAGAAGTGAGTTTAGTTCAAAATCCATAGAGGGTACCAAGCTGAAAAAAACAGTTTTATCACAATCTTTGCCATCAAAAGTTTTAAATAGTTGTGGGTTTTGGGCACCTGCTGTTTTTCTGCCTCAGCCCTCTCCAGTTTCTGATTATAATGGGAGGAAGTGATTCATGCCCCTTAATACCTTTAACTGTAGCCGTTTCATTATATTGATGGGACATGTCCAGTAGCAAAAAGGGTGAAAGAAAGAAAGTCACAGAAATAGCTAAGTTCGGGTGTTTTGCACTATTAAGCTCAATAAACTATTATTAGCATGCAGTAGTTTCCAGCACTGCTCCATTATACAGTGAACAACATGTTCAACCTAAAGGGAGTGCCTTGTCAATGGGAAGCAGAGCTTAGCGAAACAGATCTTCAGGCTTAGCAAAACGGAAACAGCCTTTTTGGGACAATTTTTGGATGATTGGAGCTATAGTAGCACTTCGGAAAGGGAGTACATGCAACCCGAGCTTTGGTAATACAAACTTTCAAGGAAAGACTGCAATTCTATGGCTTTCTTGCATCCTTAACAACTGAAGGCCCCTGAACTCAGAGGCTTATGAGCATCTTATGCAGGACGGAAGGAGATGTGAGGACAATTTTCACCTTCCTGGCCTCGTGCCCTTCTATCTGGGGTATATTGGAGGGGAAAGAAGGAGGAGGGAGAGGCCCACTGTAACTTGTATCCCGACATCTCTTGTCATCTCCCAACCACTTCTCCACATCTTTAAGGTTGAGTTCTTGATCTTGGGTAGCACCCAGCATGGTTTTTTCCACACTGTCAGTGCAGGTTAGAGAGGTCAGGGCCCTAATTCCCCTTGCAAGAGCTGGAAATATGTCCCCAACCTTGGATTAAAAAATAATAATTTAGGTATAAAATAATTTAAGTCCTCTTCATATACTGCCTAGGAGGCAAAGGATTGCTCCCTCCAGTAGTTGGATCAAATCCATTGATACAGTAACGGCACAATCCTAGAGCCTCCCAACACCATGTGGATGGCTGTAGGATTGCTCATTGTGATCTTGGGTCTGGGACTCTGAAGCTGAGCCTCATCCTCATCCCTATGCAGCTAGTGTGGGAAGCTCCACGCCAGCTGCTACTTCTCTGAAACCACAACTAGTTCTTGGAGGTGGAAAGAGGCATGCCGGGGTGGGGTGAAGCAGAGATTGGAGACGCACAGTTATATTGATTCCACTTGCTGTTTCAGCCACTTTCCCTCTCCTTCCCCAGTAGACAGGCCATCTAGCCATCTAGAAGAAGTGCATGGTATGAGGTGTGGTCATTGTGATAGCAGAGATGCCATTGCCTTGCTTCTATCACTGGGTGCTCATAATCCCCAAGGTTCTTACTTGCACCTGGCATGTTGGCCGTCAGATACTATCCTAAGAATAGAATAGTTAATTTTACATGACAGTGGATGAAAACAAATCTTTTGATTTTATTGTAGCAGTAGTTGTTTTACACTAGTACCGCTTCTGTAATGTGCTCAACCACTGAGTGATGAAACAATACATTCATATTAGTACAGATCTGGTTTGTGTCTAGAGAGGAGAAGATCGACGTGTCAATTGCCAAACAAAGAAATTTCCCTGAGGCTTTGTGGGAAAGATATTAGGAATATGGTACATATCAAAGACACACAAAAAGTGCTTTAAAAGTTATTATCAGAAATACCAGAGGAGAAGAAAATTGGAAATAAGCGCCATCCTTGTTATAGAAAAGACTAATACATGTTTAAAGTGAACATAATCAATTCAGTATCTCTAGCCATGTATAAGCATGGCTGGCTCCCCCCTCCTCATAACAACACATTTTGAAATTAAGAAGAAAGAAAGGATAATGTGGTAAGTAGTTCATGCTTTGGACATGCCTGTGCAGGAGCAGGTGCTGCTGACAGGTGCCAATCTTGTTTGACCTGGCCCCTTACCTGCCCCTCTTTGCATGGTCAAAAACATCTTGTGTTGCAGTGGCCTTGCAACTGCTTCTAGTTTAAAACAAAACTAAACAAAACTAAACTCCACATGGTTGCTAATCTCACAATCAGTATAAGATCTAGTTTGACTCTACATGTATGGAAATCAGTAGAATGAGTACACTTAACCCTGAGGCTGATAGTGTAACAAAGTTAATGTTTTGTAAATGGTATCAGTCTGATAGATGATAGTTATACATGTTTGTCTATGATATAATAACCATTCTATTGGTGGTCGAGTTGGGAGTGGAACTGCATTTTCCCAGCTACATAATAATACAGTTTGAGTGCAGAGAAAATGCTATTTAAGAATATATGGCAGTGTTTTTGCAAATGAGGATTTCAGGATCACCTGCAACAACTGACAAGGCAGGGGCACATTCACTGATGAAAAAAGCTGATAGGAAGACCTTGTAGATCCACCATTTCTAAAAATTTCCTTCTAGTTTAAGCATTTAATCCTTGATATCAGGGATAGGGAACATGTGGTTCTCTAGATGTCATTGTACTGCAACTCCCATCATCCCTCATTAGCTATCCCCTATGGTAGTTGGAGTTCAGTACCATAAGAAGGGCCACAGGTTCCTAACCCCTGTTTTATATGCCAGCTGTCAGGTTTAATATGAATTAATGAAGTAATTAGCTGGGCAATCAAAAGTGCTTCTGGAATTTCCTTTCTTGGGGAACTTTTTGGAAATATTAGGGCTGCATCTTTTGGAATTACTGCTTTGAAGAAAGAATTTGACTACTCACCCACAGTGTCACTTCCAGTTCTATGATTCTGAAACAAGTCCAATTCTGAATTAATACAAAAATCACATGTATTGTATAAATCAAATATTCTTCATAATATTAAATAGCCTTCTTAATATTATTAACAATATATCATTGTAGTTGAGGGTCAAAGTCAAGGTAATGATGGAGGAATTATTTCTTAGTTGTCCTGCAGCATTATACTTTAAAAAAGAATCACTAAGACACTTGTTCTGAAGTATCAGGATTCTAAATGGCTGATATATATCTTCCATGTCCTTGTTTTAATCCCCACATTCATTTGCATACACATGGGGCTGTGAAACTGAATTGCCTTAACTTTCTCAGCTTGAGACCTGTTTTAACATATTTCCAGAACAGGTCTATTTAGATCAGCTTACTTTTGAACAGGATTAATTTATTTTAACAAAATAAATGCAGAACTGCTTTTCGGATTGCCAACAATTTACACGAAGGCTATTCAGATTTGGCGGGTGGGTTGGTAGCACCATCAATTCGACTATTCTGTTTTCTATGTAACTTTGCACACCCTTGAGTTCCCATAACCAGTGAGTTCCCTCCCATTCCCATAGTTTTGATCCAATAGCTATTGTATCAAGTCTGTTGCATTTGTTGTTTTCTTTGATTGTTTTGGTATTTTTAAAATAGGATTTATTACTAGTTATGGACTCTATATGAATGGCATTCTGGTACAGAACTCATCACAGCTGAGTTATCATACTTCTGGACTTTCTCCTTGGAGTCTGCATTCTTTCAGAGTTCAGGCATGTACTGCAAAGGGATGTGCTTTAGGCCCACTGGTGAGTACCTCAATTTACATTCTGCAAATGTAATAAATGTCAGATGGCACTGAATATCAGAGTAAATGGTGATGATTCACAATGGTCAGTAGTAACCCATCTGGCAAAATGTGACATTTTATAAAAAATGACATTAAAAGCTGCAAAGGACTGGAATAGGTCACCACTAGGCACTGTTCCAAAATATCATATAGGTATGGTGAAGATTGAGTCAGGGAGTGAAAAAAATGAGAGTGAAATGCATATAACTGAAATTAAGAATGTTAATACGTTTAAAAGTCACAGATGTGTTTTTTCTGATTTTTTTAAGAACGTAAGAGAAAGATTACTGTTCCAATAATGCATAATTTAAAATTCTAGCCTCTGCCTGGGTAAAAAGGAGTGGATATAAGGTTCCTAGAAGGCAGACAGCATAGCATGTCAAAATATTAATACCATTATCCAAATTGATCAACTATTTTGAAAAACTAGGAAACTAGATTTTAAAGGCAATTTGGCACAATAGCAAACAGCATATGGAGAATTTTTAAAAATATATTACCCTTAGGATAAAATTATAAATCAGAAGATGACGTGATATTTACATTCTTTTCTCATATTTACAGTTTGCCATTCAATAACCTTTTTGGTTCTTCTACAATGTATTTCTAATTACATAAAATATTAGATAACAGCATTTTCTGGAGTGTAAGAAACAATATGGTGTATTCTGTTGTGATATTGACTATGAAAAACAATTGTATTCAAGCATGACACAGTACCAAAATTACAAAGCTTCATTCATTGTGATGTTTCATCCTGAAGTGTTGTGGTTAATATTATACTTCTTAGTAAATTCTTGAAAGTTAAATAGCCCATTTGCCCACACATCTTTTTTACAAGGATAAAACCCAACGGAAACACTTGCTGTGGTACTGCTAGTAAAGTTTTGCTTAACAGCATCTTACTTCGTAGCAATAGCTTCACTGTATGAAGATTGCATCAAGAAAAGGACATCAAGTTTTATTTTTTATTGTTATTTTGATAACATTTCCCATTTTCTTTCCAAGATTCATTGCTTTAAAATGCTAGTAACATCATCCATCTGTAAAACAGGATTGTAGACTTTATTACTATTAAACATTTTATAGCTTGGACAGAGTTGATGGATATTTACTCTTAAAAGCATGAATGGCTTTTTGCCAATTTTTCTACTCAATTAAAAAAAAATCCTGGAAATTTAGGAAACAATCCACCAAGTGCTTGTGCAGCTGCTGCTGTTTGGCCTCCATTCATTTATGTGGGACTTGAATGAGGGTCCTACCCGAGCACTGTTCAAGCGCCCAAAGGTTGTACAGAAACAGCAGTGCTTGTTGAACTGTGCCCTTAAACTTGGTTTTGTTTTGTTTAAGAGGTCCCAGTTATTCTCTGATGGCATTAATATTGAAATCATTTCCCACCAAGTTCAATGCTCAGAGAGTGCTGTTGAGCACAAGGGATGGTTGTGCTCTATTTGCTGCTCACAATATATTCACTCTTACACCATTGCAATGCTTTTGTAAGATTCTACTCTTTTCTGGAAGAAACTAGTAAGTAACTGCATTTCATCAAAGCTGGGACTCAGCCTTGACTTCCAGAGCAATTCAAAACAGGGAGTTTAGAGTCAACCTAATACTTATCTGTATCTCTTGCTCAGAATGCAAACTGTTTTCCTGAGCCAGTGATCCATCTCCAATCACAAGAATTGAAATGCAATGTCTTTATTTAGAGAGCAACTCACCTAAATGCTGCCAGGAAGTTAAAGTGCTACATCTTCATTTGATTTTCTGAAAGATTCCACCCCCACCTCCACCGATTACCATTTATATCCAACACTTACTTTAAAAGCACACATCTTTAGCTCATTGAGGACTTTAAATAGAAACAGGGACATCTCCCAATGGTAAACTGATATTATCCTTCCAGCTATTTTTGTTGCTGATCTTTTATTTAATGTGTCCTAATCGATTGAAGAGATGCTATGTAATGCAAGCGCCTTAGGAACTGGATTTCTCTAGTTTATGTTTTTTTCCCCCTGAAGGTAGCACCAGTTACTTAAGGACTGCTATTGCAAATAGCTGTGATTTAAGTTATTTCCAGTGAAGGTTTCTCTGCAAATTTAATAAAAATCTTGAAAATTTATAATTAAAAAGATTAATGTACACTTAAATGGGCATCAATTTAGAACAAGAGCTAATTTCATTGCATTGCATTATGAAAAGAAATAGCTGTTGAGAATCATCTGGGAAACATGAAAACATACCTGACTGAAAAATTGCAGGAATGTATGCTAAGAAAGAGAAAGGAAAGAGGTCAAGTTGAAATATAAAGCCATGTATAATTTATACTAACTGATACATTAATTTTGGATATGTTGTATGCCACTTAATTTATTTGTGGCATATTCTGCTAACCTAATTTACTTCAAAATGTATTTTGTTCAGTTCCAGTGTTCTTAATTTTTAGTTTACTATTTTATGTAAATAATAAATAATTTCATATTTTGAATTAGTATTAATGTATGCTTTAAAAATCTGTGTATGCTTGCAGGTGGAGGACACATGAAGGAGGACACATTTTTGTCCATTAAATTTTTGCATACAATGTTTTGTCTGTATAAGAAAAATGTACAAAGATAAGCACAGTACTTACAGTTTAGAATGGTATACAAGGATTCAATTTCAATCTTCTGAAATTAACCAAAGTATATTATGACTTTGTGAGGAATGGTGAATTCAAAAGACTGCGGCATGCTTGATTCTTTGTTCATTTCTGTGAGACAGAAAATTTAAATAGTGCAGAGCAAGAGCATAATTGAAAAGAACTATAAACTTGAATTTTGTTTAGTTTATATTCCTGCACACCGCTAACTCCAAGAGGCCTTCTTTTGAAGTTAATAATACTTGTGTGACACAGATAACTGAAAATTCATGTCATACATCTTACATCATGCAACCGTTGCTATATTTTTTAAAGAGACAGCTAATAAAATTGGTGTAAAACAGAGCTTCAGTACATTTGTATAGGAATAGATGGCTTCAGGATTGCAGTCTACTTATGGGATATTCATATATTTCTTATGAAAATATATAATGCAAGCATCTTTTCTTCTAGCTTTTCCTGTTTTAGGGATGGAGCCATAAAGTGCTGGGAAAATAAGCTGTTTTAGGATGGCTATATAAGTGGTCATAGATTAGCCTTCTATAATCATATAGAAGTAGTCATACAGATTAGCCAGCCTGGTATTCAAGATGAATTGGGCCACAACACCTTGAATCCCCTTACCAGCCAGTAGGCTTGGCTGGGGGATTCTGAGAGTTGCACTCTAACACATCTGGGCATTTTATCATAGTCCAAATGGGATATAACTAAACCATGTGTCACCATGGCCAGTCAGATATCTCTCAGAATGACTGAAATTGGCATTCTGGGCTCAGCTTTGCTGGTGCACTTGGCACTGGTTATCCAGGTTCAGGGGTGAATCCAGGACTACACTCAAACTCCAAACCTTTGTCTTCAAAGGAAGTGTAATCACATCCAGCACAGGACAAATTCCTATTTTCTGTTATTCCTGTGAAAACTGCAAGAGGCCATGGCTGGAAGATGGATAACTTGGAGGAGAGTCAAGATCTCCACTGAGATCAGGCAACCATAGATGAAGAAAGAAGAGCGCAACAATGTAGGCTGATGTTCTGGACAGTGCTGCCAAACCTGCTCACAGTCAATGACAATTCTGAGGAATTCTGTCCTATTTCTGTTAAAATTGTTATCTTAATAAATTTCTATGCTGCCACCCAATAAAAGGTCCAGAAAAGATTTTTTAAATGAAATAAACTAGAGCATCACAGCAGGGAAAAACAAAGAATCCATATTAAACAACACCGAAGTTCCAAGGGTATAGCTGTTTATCCTCACTGTATGCCAGGACCAAATATGCACCAGTGGGATATCTATTATATCCAATTAATCTTCTTTTAACTTTATTTAATGTTTTTTGAAATTTGCAAATATAACAGAAAAATACATAGCAAGAAGAATCAGAGTCAGCTTACAATAACAGTAGAAAGTCAATGCTCATATCTTAAATATATACATTAGCATAAGCAAGTCATATATTTATCTAGGTATTTAAATGAGATTTATGACTATAAGATGTACGCTGAAATGAAAACAGGGCAGTAAGATATTTAGCAGGTGGATATTTATCCTTCAAAGCTTGAGGTATAAGTCCCTTTGCCACTGACTCTCAAGATCCACTTCTGCTGTCCACGCCTTAGTCCTCACATCTGAAGAATATGATTTAAAAGCTGCTAGGAATCAGCAAATATCAAATATTTTTCTGAAACAAAATTGATATGAACAATCATTTCAGCCAAAAGAAACCACTCAAAATGAACACCAACCTGTGACTCCTGGAATGAAGCTTTAGGACCTAATGAGTGAAGAAAACATGCTTTTCCCAAGAGGCTAAAAAGAGGGGAGAGAACCTGCAACAAAGGCAGTTATAGGCACACACTGATAATTCCATCATTATCCAAGAGCTCATTGCAAAGGGCATGAGGATGGGAAACAGGAACAGAGTTCAAGGCCAGCCAGTATGAGGGAGATGGCATGCCACATATGCCACTTCACCATTTGTTCAAGTACTGTCTCCCTTTTTTTTTGTCAAGAACAAAAAAAGGAGGACTCAAATCCACATTGGAAACACCACCAGTCAGCCACAATGGCAAACTGGCAATTTTTAAATTTTTTGTTCTATAGTGAATGGATTTTTTTAAACTTTAAAAATGTCTAAAAACCTACATGTATTTTAATTTTTAAAAATCAAATTTGCAACTTTGGGCTTTACTGTGAAGCTCATGTAGAAAGTAAAAATAATATTTAAAATTATTTGCAGGATATAAAATGTATGAATGGATTTTACTGCAAAACAGACTGTTACCACCTGGCTGACTTTCTTCCTTTTTGATAGAAAATGATCAGTGGGGAACCCAAGGCATAACAAAACATGGAAAAATAATGGAGTAGAACAAATGCACTACACTGATTCTTAACTATAATACATTGTTATTATATCATGATATAATATTAATGAGATTTGATAATATTTGGCATTTATATATGTGTGCAAAATAATGATTAAATAATATTTAAAATGTTTGGTTAAAGTTAAATAAAAACTTTCTTTTCAGAGACATATTACTAACTTAATAAATGAAGGTTTTATGAATTGTTCATGTTCTTCCCACTGAATTCCAGCTGTGTAAATAGTGGTTAGACATCCTTTGCACATGTTCCCTGCACATGTTCGAATGTAGTCTCACTTCTCATATTTTAGTACTAAATCAGGGCACTGAAAACAGAATTGAGGACTAGGGCTCAAATTAAGTCCATTTCTTTCTTGTATGGTAATAGCTGAACAAAGTGTTCCTTGTTCATTCTTGTGCTTCTCTGTTTTTAGTACAAGTCTTTTCATAAGGCTCTTGAATTGTTAAATTTGTAGGTAGAAGCTCGTACATTGGAAGATGCACCTAAAGGGAAAATGGAAGTATTTATCATCAATGATGGATCCAGAGGAGTTCAAGTGAAATGGCTTCCTCTGCATAAGCCAAATGGGCAGATACGCTATGCTGTTCTTTTTACTGGCATCTTCTATACTGATGAAGGTATTTCCATTGGCATGTTGTTGGAATTACTTTGGTATTGCCTTTATTATACCTTCTGTTTCTCAGGAATTTTGTAAAATAATTTTCTGGCAGAACTCCTATGGCTGCTGGACAGAGTTGGCAGCTATAAGATTTTATTTTATTTTAATTTGTGAAGTCCCAGATCTTACTTCAGAAATCTGCTCCAACTCTGAACCTGGGACTTGGAATGCCCTCTCACCAGCCTTACAGTGAGCATGGAAAGAACCACACCAACCTCTTCTCTGAGGTCATAGGAGCAACCTTGGAAACAGGCTTTGGGGCTTGGGAAAGGGAGAAAAGAGGCTCAACTGACATACAAGGTAACCTGGTAGCAATAGATATTTCCTGTCATTCTGAGACCAAGCTGCCAAACACTTACATGGCCAAAATAGATATTGAAATACTTTGCATGGAATGATAAACACAGAGGCAATGTTTATCTCTGGACTGGTCCTACATGTGTAGGATGCCCATAATCCTTCAGGTGGGTTAAAGGATGTTGCAATGTATTGCACCCTTAGTAAGATATTTCAGCATGCTACTACATCTGTCAAATTTGGACCCACAATCCCTTCGCACATATCATGTAGTTGGTTTAAATTAAAGATTGAAATGGAGATTATGATGAGGAGCTACTATGGAGGGCTTATTCGTGTTCTCCCATTTCAGGGAAAAAGCCTTGTCTTCAGCAAATATCTTAAAAAGCCTTGTTGAACTGATCAGCCAGTCCTGAAGAGAAAAGAATTTTATAAAATCTCACTTAATCTTTGTCTAGGACAGGACAGAAAAATCCCATTTGCTAATTACCTGATCACACTAGTTAACAAAATGATATTTTTTTCATCCTGGTCACTGTATAGATAAGTTTTTTACTTGGTTATAGTTCTTACTTTTTGAACTTTTTATTAGTTGGCTTCAGAAAGGAGGAATAGGAATAGAATAAAAATTGTAATAAACTGTGATGTTGTTGATCATGTTTCTACCATTTTTGCCCCATTTATTTGCTTTTTAAAATTTCTATACCACCCAACAAGTTCTATGGGCAATTCACAAAAAATATGCATCGTGATATAAAAACAAGCAAACAAAAATTCTCTAGTATACAACATTGCAACAATTTAGCAACATATGTAACAGATAAAACATTAACAATAAGGTTAATAGAATAAATCGCACATGATATGGACATAGTATGTTTTTATTGCTCATAGCCATTCAGACCAATTTCAAATACAAAAAAGTTATAAACCATTAAGAACCATAAAAATATAGTAGAAATATCATTACAATACCTAATAAAAATCACACAACTGTTCTATGGGAACAAATGAAATAAACCTTACCATAAAATTAGTATAAAACTGCAGAGTGCTCCCTAGCCTTTAATTTCCTAGCAGTCAGGACCAACCTTTCAACTTGGGTCAGAACATATGCACCATTGCCTGCAAGCAGTATACAAATCTTATCCAACAAAGGTCTATTTAATAGAGAATTGAGGATATAATGAAGGAATCTGACTCATACAGTGGAATGGATAATATTCAGTGTCCTCAGCTTCACCCACCTCATACATGCAGTGTCGTCATATGGCCACCACATATGCCATCATATTCCTTGGAGCAGAATACCTGGTACCCAAAAGATGGCAGTGTTGACGCCAGGCACACCTCAGTGGGGAATGAATTCCATAGCCAGAGGGAGGCCCTCTGCTTTGCTGCCACCTTCTGTGCCTTCCTTGGAAGAGGCACTTAAAGGAATCCCTCTGGTGTGGATTGTAACATCTGAGCAAATTCCAGCTGGGAGAGGCACTACATACATCAGCTGTTAATTTGCACCTTTGCTGTTCTCCTTCCTACCTTGTAGCCCTGTCTTTTCTCTGGACTTGGGTTGGAACCAGATTTAGGATGCTTCTAGACAAGGGGTAGGGCTTCCAACTCTACCAATGAAATGGTATTGTGAAGGTATTCCACTTTTGTTTTCTTTTTCTTTTTTGTTAATGGATTTTCTGCAGTAAAATAAAATCTGAAAGAAGTGATGGCAAATCACAGGACAGTTACAAGATAAGGATGGTGATAACAATGTGTGAATGAGAAAAGGTAATGATACCTTGAATGCCATAAGAAGAAGCACCCTCAGGGCCCTTGACTTTTTCTGGGGTAGGGGGCAGGGCATAGGATTATTCCAGTGCAGTGGAGAGAACTATTTTGGTTTGGTGCTTAGAATTTTGGACAGGGGAATGAGGCGCCCTGGGTTCTAGTCTCCTTTCAGCCATGAAGCTCACAGAGTGATTATGGGCAAGTCATTCACTCTCAGCCTAACCTTCCTCACAGGGTAGCTGTTGTAAGGATCAAATGGAGCCATATGAGCTGCCTTGGATTCCTCATAAGAGGAAAATGGTGGGCTATAAATGAAATGTAATAACAGTCATAATAATATTCAGAGTCCCAGCTCCAAGGCCTTTCATCCACAGGGCTAGGACTCCAAATGTACAGCCCCTGCTCCATCCTCCCCCTGCAGCCAATGTGAAAGTGTCCTGATCTGGCCCTTCCTCTCCCCTCCTGTTCACAAAATCCCAAAATGAAACTTATGAAGTTCAGTTTTTTTATTGAAACTTAACAGACTGCAAAGCAATATGGACTTTAAAAAGCCTTCTACTAAAGTTTTAGGAGAAGCATCTCCCCATATAAAGAGTTGAATCTGAACTGAAAACTTCCCCTTTCAGGATGGCTCTTGAGGGCTAGAAGGTGTGAACGCCAGAGCCCTTCTAACTGGGTTGCCTGCTTCTCCCATTGCCTCCTAACTGGGTCAAGGGCTGGGTCTTTCATCTGCTTTCCCTCACTCCTGAAAACTTTTCCACCCCTTCCAAAGCAGGCAGATCTTCAGACTCTGGTGGAGAAACCTTACTAGGTAGCTTTTGCACATGTGCACTGTGCCAATGTGCCCATGCATGCATGAGCAGCTCTCCATGTTGATGGGGACTCAAGCCCAGGCAGCAAGGAAGAGATTGTTATGGAATCTCAGGAGGTTCCAGCAGCAGAACAAGGCCAGGGGCTGCCTGGGGAGATATGAGATGTGGAGTTGGTGCCAGAGCCTAACAAGAGCCCCAGTCTGCCCCATGGGAAAAGGGGTGGAGCCGGAGGATGAATGTGGCCCACAGCAAGGTAGTGGGGACAGGGAGCTCAGCAGCCTGTCTGACATAGAAGCCCCACCTCCTGAAGAGGTGGCACCAGTTGCAAAGTGGAAGTGCCAGCAGGAGGTTCAACTGGGTGAGAAATGGGAAGAACGAAAGTGGGCATGATTCCACAGTGCTCTACCTGCAAGAGCCAAATTCTAAAAAGGCTATAAGGAAAGTTGGGAATGAGGAATGTTAGAGAGGGCTCGACATTTCACTCTGTGTGTACTCAGAGGTATGTAACAGTAAAGTCTTTTGGAAAAGAAGCTTTGGATAAATCTGTTTACTCAAGAGGAGAACTTTAGCTCATGACAGGAGCCTCTTAATCAGTCCATTCCCCCCTGCTCCCCAATTCACCTTCTTTTCAGACCTGGACAAATTCATCCTGTCATGAGTGAGAGATGGTTTGCCTCTCCACAGGAAGAACCATGCTGGCTGCATCTCCAAAGTTGGAGAAAGCTAAAGGCATATACCAAGGGGATGGGAAGAGAAGAATGCTGGGGTTGACAGCTTACTCATATCCTTTCATCGCCTGAGCCTCTTTCCCTGGTCTTCTACAGCACTTCATCTACATCTTTGAAAATGTCTGTCTAGATGAAATACAGATGCAAGGTGTGTGGCAGTAGAAGTTGGTCCTATTGCATCTTATACTGTGCATTGGATGTACAAAAGCATCTGTGTTTGGAAGCTTACATGCATTGAGGTAGGCAGTTAAGCTAACAGTAAGCCCACTGAACTCAGTGGCACATAGGATAGTCAGAACTTACTGGATCTGCTCTAAATATGACTAAGTCTGAATCCAACCCTTGGATCTTATCTAAGTCCTCAGCTGACATCTGATCCTGTGTCTAGCCTGAGTTAAATATTCAGTCATTGATTTTCTTGTCCTAACCATGTGAGTGGTTCTGCTTGATCTTTTTGCACTAGAAAAAATGTTTAGGATGGTGCAGCTTCAAAGTAAAGTTCAACAGAAAATGATCTCATGAACCATTGCTGCAAACGGATACCCAAATATTTACTGCCATGCGCATCTGTTAAAGTAATTTGTACTGAGTAGTGAATCATCTTTGAAGAAGGAAACCTCTGCATTCACCTCTATAACAAACACAGAAATGAAAACCTTTTCCAAAAGATAAGTACAAAGACTGTGATTGTGTGCCTGAAACTCCCACTTTGAACAATGAGTTAGAGAACATTTGCACACTGCTTGAAGGTTACTTCATTAAAAAGAATGACTTAGTTTCTTGTTTTGAGTGCTGCATGGTTCAGATGGTGTCATGTTAATTATCTGACTCTGTGTAAATCAATGTACAGGAAGGCACAAGGAAGTGTAAGAACCTATCCCATTTTAACTGCTTCATTGTGAATATTTATTTATTTAAAAACTTTTTATACTGTCTACTACCAAGGTTTTACTAACCAAAAAAAATAGTTTTGTTTGTACATATTTACTTCTGAATAAACTAGGTAGACCTAATAGAGAGAATAGCAAGTGATAGGGAAGAAAATGTATGCTGCAGGCTGCCCTGCAGGTCTGGGGTATGGTGGGGCAGGGGCTGCAGGGAAGGAAGGAAGTCTGTTCATCCAGTAGTTTCATTCTCTTGGTGGACAGCCAGCACTGGGTACAATGCGTAGAAGCTATGTTGCAGGCATAACTATATACCTGAGGGTAACTGCCATGATACATTGCTCTTGACTTGGAACAGATGTTGATACTTATGCTCTTTGAGAAGGCATATTTCAGTTCACATACAAATATGTTTTGAGAAACTTAAGTCTTAGAGGGTTTAAGGGTTAACCACTCCCA